TGAGGGCGCGTGCTGGGGCAGACGGTCCGGGCCCTTGTGCTGCAATAACTGCTGGGAGGAGGGTGCCCTGGAACCCTCCTCAGCTGTGAGTCTGTTCTGTGAAAATAAAGCTTCACCGCCCCTTTGCGTTCTTCCTTTTTCCCGCGAGCCTTCTGCTTCTCCCTTCTTTCTGGACAGAGGCAGAAGCGATCTGGGGACTCTGCATGTCACATCCCAGGGGAGTGGAGGAGGAGGCTGGCAGCCTCGGGCCTTGCCCTGGCCCTCCTGCCCGCGGAAGGGCTCTGTACTGCGGCTTCCTTTGCAGTGTTGAGCTGGTCCCCACGTTCAGAGGCTGGGGGGATGTTCATGGAGACACGTAGTGCAGTGGTTAAGAATCAGGGCTTGGAGTCAGGAAGGCGTGAGTGTGAATCCCTCCTCTGCCACTTGGCTGAGAGACTGGGGAAGTGACATGACCTCTGTGAGCCTGGATTTTCTCATCTGTAAAAATGGGCCACTCACAGTCCCTGCTTCCCAGGGTTACTGTGAGGGTCAAAGGAGTATTAAATACAGCCCTGTCTCGGTACTCAACTCCTTTGAAACTTGTTAAATTTGGTGCTCGATGCTTTTTTCTTTCAAATTAAGTTTATTGGTACGTCTTAGATACACATGACAAGGTACTCGATGCTTTTTGACATGAAAATTTTGTTCTGGTGCCTGTCATTTGTTTAGTTCTTGACCTGCAAGCTGGAACTTGTTGGTGTCGATTGCCTCATGACTGGCTGCTCTTTCCAGCCAGAACAACTTATTTGGTGCTAGTTGTCCCTTACTGTGCCTCCTGGAACCAATTTACCACTAGTACAGAGGTGCCACTGTGTTCAGAAAGCGCTGAGCAGAGGCCCTGGCACATAGCACACCCAGTAAGTAGAGGCTGGTAGGAACAATGGCCTATGTGGCCCATCAGGGCAAGGGGCTTGCCCAGGGGTGGTGGGAGCCATAGGCGGGTATGGAGCAGGTGCATGTTGGACATGTGGTTTGATGGGACAGCCATGAGCGCAGAGGCTTAGGCTGAGACCTCTTCAGAAGTCCTGGTGCTTCTACCTCCTGAGGGCTGGCCCTCACGGACTCCCTGCTCCTTCCCTTGCTGAGGGCCTTCCTTGACCTGGCCTGGCAGCCTCTGTCTCCCACAGGTCCCTTGGGCATGAAGGTAGTCATTTTCTTTACAGTCCCCTGTGGTCATCCCAGTGGTCAGCTCTGTGGAATGTGAGTGAGGGGCTTTGAGGAGTGGTGAGAGTGGTGGCACTGAACTAGCATACAGGGTTCTTGATCCAGGCCTGGTGGCACGTGCCTGTAGTCCCAGCTACTCTGGAGGTGAGGCAGGAAGATGTCTTGAGTCCAAGAGTGAAAGGCCAACCTGGGCAACATAGCAAGACCCTATTAAAAAAAAAAAGTAGCATATGGAATTGTGGGACAGGGCAGGGCCTGGAGTGGCATTCCACGGGGCACTTGGATGTGACTTGGACTCCTGGTCTGAGTCCAGGCTGAGTGGTGCCTGCTCCAGTGGAGCCGTGGAGAGGCTGACAATGGGCGGAATGTGGCCCCCTAAGGACCCACACTTCACTGGTGCCCAGGCATGCCAGCTGAGTCCTTCGCTGCTGCAAGCCTCTTTTCCAGCAGCTCAACTGTGCCAGGACAGCCAAGGACGTTTCAGAGTCCCTGGGGCTTGTGGTCAGAGCGTCACTGGGCATTGCTTGTTTTCCCAGGGTCCAAGGGCCTTTCAGGACAGCAGGGGCTCTGGAGATGTTCCAGGGACTTTCCTTAACAGCTGGGTAAATTGAGGCCCAGAGAAAGCAAGGCACTTGACCAAGGTCTCACCCGGCATCCCCTCCTGTCTGTCACCTCTTTCTGTTCCCATGTCCTCTGCTCAGACTCCTGGCCTACTGCCCAGACAGAGGTTTATACCAGCCTCCCTCTTGCAGGCTCCTGAGAGCTTTGTTTGCCCTCCTGTTATCGTAATCTTGCCATGCCCTGCCAGTTGTACGCACTACTTAATGTGTCTGGCCTCCTGTCCCCTTCCAATGGCTGCCTGAGGTGGAGCCTCCCAGACAGCTGTGCAGCACAGAGGTTTAGGCCGTAAGCTCTGGAGCCCAACTACGTGGGTTTGAATGCCAGCTCTGCCCCTTCCGAGCCTGGTGACCCTGGGCATGATGGCCCACCTTCCTGGGCCTCAGCATCCCCTATCTGTGCAGTGAAAGCAGTGGCAACACTAATTAACGGGATGATGGGGCCCAGTGCCTGAGAGCACATGTGAAGAGCTGGCGTGGAGCACACTCTCAGCTGGTGTCACGGTCACACGCACGTTGTCACAAAGTCCCGTCAGGACTGGTGGGAGTACCGGGGAGACGCACACCTGTGCAGGGCGGCAGAGGAGGTGGGCCCAGGTTCATTCTCACACAGCACCTCTCTGTGTGCCTTTTGAGGGGGTCATTCACCCCAGGGAATCCCTACTTTCCTTTTCCAAGAAAAGGGAAAGAAATCCCAACAATGCTTTTACAGAACTGTCATGTACCACCAAAGCACTCCTGTGAAAAAGTTTTGAGTGCGCAACGATTTACAAATGGCAGGTGGTGGCTGTCGTGTGCGGATGGCGACAAGGACGTTGTGACCACAGTGAGGAAAGGCTGGCTGGCTGTGGGCTGGTAGTGTGTGGAATGCCCAGCGCCCACACAGGCTTCCCAGCCCTGCCTGCTCCCAGCTGCCTTGCATATTGGCCCCAGCATTACGTGCTAGAAAATGTAGGAGGTGCAAAGACCCTGTGTATTTTCCAGGCCTGGTGGGTTTTGGGCTCTCAGCGGCTGATGCAATGGGATGTGGGGATTAAGAGCTAGAAGTTGCTGGATTGCATCTCCACTAAGTGTTTCCTAGGTTTGAGGTTGAACAAGTTGCCTAGCCTGCGTGAATCAGTTTCCACATTTGCAAAATGAGGCCCTGTTGATGTGGAGGCTGTGAAGTTAGCAAAGAGCCCAGCACCTGGTGTTCTGGGGTAGCTGTACACAGTGCTTTCTGCTGCAGGTGTGGTGGGTTGGGGGTGGGATTATGTGGAGCTGGGGCTGTTGTGCCCATTTCTGGGGATTTGCCAGAGGTCATTATGCTTCCTGCAGAGTCACCCAGCTCAGGAGTAGAAGCTCCATGAAATCATGTGGTGTGAATACAAACAAGGCCCCGAAAGGAGCGATGCTGCCTGATGTCACAGGCAGGTGAGTCGAGGGCTGGACTGAGGTCGAGGCAAGCGAGGTCTGTGGGCACAGTCCTCCGAAGGGTGCCACGCGGGCGTGCAGGCTGCACGGAGTGAGGACCTTCTTGGGGCTCCATCCCGGCCCTTCATGCTTACCCAGCGCAGTCCTGGTAATTGTCTGGTCTGGCACTGACCCGCGCACTGTTGAGGACACCTGGAGGCACCTCAGGAGCCTCACTGAGCCCTGGTCCCCTTCGTTAGTGGCCTGCTGAAGTAGGTCACCTGGCACTTCTTGCTATGTCTGCCCTGCAGCAGGCTGAGCTCTAGAGAAAGCTGGGGCCTCTGCCCACAGGGACCACCCGCCCCCCACCCCGAGCTGTGCCTGCTGGAAGTGTGCCCAGCCCCTCACACCCGAGGTATGAGCTGTGAGGTGTGCTGGCGGCAGGCTCTTGTCATGGTGACAAGCCCCAGCGGGGGGTGGGGGTGGGACACAGCTGCTTTCATGTGGCCCTGGGTGATGCCTCCTTGGTCTCAGCAGGTCGTGTGTTGTGCCCACCAGGTCTCTGGGAGATTAGGGGACTTCTGCAGCTCCGAACGCCTCCAAGCTTTCCCTCTCCTGTGTGCTAGCCCCCCACGGCCCCACTATCGCCATGGGGCCTGGATGCTTTTTAGTTTCCCGGGGCTTTGGTGTCTTCCAGAGCCAGCCGGTCTTGGGGAGTTCTGCGTCGATCTCCCCATCACCACTGCTGGGCCGGTTCACTGGTGGCTGTTCATCCCCGGAAGGGCTCCCAGGGGTTCACCTGTGGCTGCAGGACCCCAGGCCACCCTCATAATGTGAGTGAGAGGCCGGAAGCTCGGCCCAGCCTCCATCCCAGGCCCAGACATACAAACACCTTTTCTCCGCTGTTGCTGAGGTTGGGGCTGAGATTCTGCCGTTAGCAGAGGGCCTTCGCTTACTTTTGGCATCCTCTAAGGAGGCACACACCTTTTAGGGTGGACACTTGAAGGGTTTTTGCACAGAAGCACCCAGCCCTGGGAGACGGGAAACCTCCAGGCTGCCCTCGGCTGGCTTGTCCTTTTCCAGCTCACTGTGCGACCAGGGCTGAGTTGCCTCTCCTCTCTGGGCCTCAGCTTTGTAAAGTGTTTTTGGTTCTAGCATTTTGACAGCGGCACAGGCTCCAGTATGTTCTGCCCTTCCACCAGTCACCTTTCTTCCTCCTTTATGGGTGGGGCAAAGGGAAGGGCCTGACAGCTGACAGCTGGGGCTGAAAGCCAGTGTCACAGACACTTTGACCACCAGCTGGATCTTTAGGGGATATCAGTCTTCCTCTTCCTGGGAAAGGTGAGGAAACTGAGGCCTGGAGGGGAAGGGCCTTGCCTAGGGTCACATGGGACATCAGGCAGAGCTGGAGGCCCATTGTCCTCTTTGCCAAGGTGGGCTTTTTCACTCCTGGCTGCCACCTTTCTTAAGAGGGACCAGACGACCCACTGGCATGAGGGTTGGGGACATGCTTTCTCCTTGCCCATGGAGGGCACCTCCAAGTGGGGCCCTGCCTGCTGCGGGACCCCCAGGCCTGAGGCAGACTTAGGGGGAGGGCCTCCTGTCTGCACACAGGAGGTAGGGACTGGTGGCCCTGGCAAGGGAGGTGGTGAGGGTGGTGGAGGTTTCCAGGAATGGGGTTGGTGGCTGACGGTGCCCTAGGGCCACCTCCCTCCCTTCTGCCTTCCCTCCCTCCTAGGGAGGGGACTGGGCTGACAGTAATGCCATTTGTTCTGGCTCTGGGATTAGGTGCAGCCGTGTGAAGTGCGTGTGGATCCACTAAGAAGATAGCCAAGTGCAGAGGAGCCAAGCAGCCGCCTGGAGCTCCTGGGACACCGGTGGGTCTTGTCACTCTCTCCCTGGCTCCCCTTAGTCTGTCCTGGCTTCCCTGCCCCCCTGGCTACCTTCCCAAGCCCTCTGCCCTGTCCAGTCATCCCAGGTGTGTCTGATTGTGTGCACACTGTGTGTGCCTACCCATGCAGGAGACCTGTGGGTATGGCTGGCCTGGAGCTCGGTGCAGGGCTCAGCTGTAGTCAGGCCCAGAAGCCAGTTCCTCAAGCATCCCAGCTCCTGGCACTGCCCCAGGGTGGTGGCCCAGGCTGACCTGGCAGACTGTGGTGGGGAAAGAGGAGTGTGAAGGAAATGTCGGGTTCTGCAGCACCTCTTTGTGTACAGCTAGACCCATCCGCAAATCTGCCTGAGCCCAACAGGTTCCAGAGTGAAAGATCGCCTTCAGGGCCCTGAGGGAGACAGAATGACGAGTCCCAGGGTGTTTGGATGTGACATTTGTGGCTTCAGTCTTGTCTAGTCCAGGAGAGCCAGGGCTTGTCAAAGATGAGGGACTGCTGGAGCATTTCCATGTTCGTTATGTGGCTTTCAGTAGGGGCTGGTCTAAATTTGTGTGTCTGGGGACAGAGTCTGCTCGCAACCATCATCAGCTTCTGAGAAGGTTCTGTGACCCCCAGAAGGTCAGACTTCTGCTGTGGTCCGCACGTCTTGTGCAGCCGAGGAAGCAGAGGCACCGAAGAGGGAAGGTGCTGCTCCTCTGAGCAGTGCTGGAGCTGCTGAACCGTCTCCTCCTCTCTGTCAGCACCCTGTCCTCGGATCCCCACCACATGGAGGTGACATTGCCCGGTTGTTCAGAGCCTGTGCTAATGCTAATGCTCTGGAGTTTGGCTCAGCATCTGTGAGATAGAGGCCCCTTGTGGTCCTGCTTCTCAGAACCTCTTGGGACACCTGGCAGCCTGGAGCTGGCCATGTGGGAGCTTCGTACTGGGTGGCCCAGCTCCTCTGCAGGGCAGGCAGACGGGAGAAGCTCCAGACAACAATTATTTTTACTTCATTGGAAATAAATGACAAATAACTGAGGTAATGATGGGGAAGTGCTTGGTCTTGTGCCTGACATGCACCAAACCCATGAGGCTGCTGGTCACCATTGTCCCTGAGTCGTTCTGCCAGCTGAGATGGCCTGCTTCTGACTCTCTCCTGCCTCTGCCCCCTTAGCACAAGACCACCGACTGGGGCCTGGGGGCTGCCACCCCACCTTTCTCATGGAGGACCCCTCAGTGGGCAAGGTGAGGACCCTTGGGCTGAGGTCCTGCCTTTCTGGAGGGAGGTGCTGCTTTCTGCCTGTGTAAGCTTTGCTGGTGCGAGGCTCACCCGTCACTGGAGAAACCGGGCCTGCAGTCCCTGGCTGGGCGCCTAAGGAAGCAGCGTCCTGGCTGTGGACCTGGCCGAGGAGTGGCATGGGTGGGATGCGGGTACTGGGACCCTCTGGGGTAATGAGAGGGACTTCGAGGTGGGCTTGGAAAGGCCGTTCTCACTGACTTGCCCTCTCTGAGTCTCCTTGTCTGTGAGGAGCAGTTCCTTGTCACTGCGTGTGCGGTGGCACCACCTCTGGGGTGTGAGGATGAGGAAGGTAAAGCAGGAAAGTTTGTCCTTGGGCCCCGAGGGCAGCGGCCCGGCCCCTAGGCCACCCAGGTTGTTTGCGTGGTAAACCCTTTTTCTAGACCTGGTACAAATGTGTACTCAGCGCAGACAGTGTGGGGAGAAAGACCAGTTCTCAGCAAGTGGTGTCTAAGTTCCCAAGGCTTTCTTATGGGCCCTGCTGCCTGCCAGGACGCCCAGGACAGATTCTCAAGTTGAAAACTGTGGATTAAGCTGAGTTTCATGCCTGCTGATCAGTGGAGCATTTGTGACGCTGCTTCTAGGCGCTCTTATTAGCCACTGGTGGTGATGTTAAAATACACACAGAAGGGAGCCGAGAACAGGATGTGTAGGACACCTGGCAGTGGCAGCTATCTCAGGTGGACAGAGAGAGGAAGAGCCCAGCTCTGTGCTGAGGGTCCCAGTAACTCACCAGTCAATGCTGTGGATCTCAGTTCCTCACCTGTGAGGTGGGGAGAGTGTAGGTCGTGATGCTGCTGAGGGTGAAGTGACAGCCGTGACGTAGGCATACTGAGTCTGAGGAGTGGAAGTCACTGTTGTTGCTACGTTTAGCTTGGATACTCCCTGCTGCAGACTCAGGAAGGGGAAGGTCATTAGCCAGGGTGATGGCTCTGGCTCTGAGGACCTGCTGTGGGTGGGTGGTCGCCTGGCCTTGGAAGGTGTGCAGGAGGTGGGAGGCCAGGGTTTCCCTGAGACAGCTGCCGCTGGCCCTGGCCTGGGGAGGCAGAAGAGTGCTCCCCACAGGGGCTGGCAGAGTGCCACTCCCAGCCGAAACGGAGCGTGCAGGAACGTGGGCTGGGCTTCGGTGGCAGTGGGCAGACTGGCAGCTCAGTGCCTGGGGTTCTTTCCCATTCCTCTCTCCAGGCCTGTGTCCCCCTGTGCTCACTGCAGAGTGGACTGTGCTGTGACTCCCAGCCAGGCTCCTGCCAGTCCCTGCTGGTGGCAGCCCTGGTGGTGGTGTGATGGTGTGGGTGACAGGCAGGTGGCAGCTGGCCGTGGGCCAGGCCACACTGTGGGTGGTGTGGGTGGTGTGGGCGTGGGGTGGGCAGTGGGGGCACCGTGATACCATCAGAGAAGAGATTTACTTCTGCCCTCTCCGCATCCCAGGGGTATGATTGTGCTGAGAAGCTCCTGCACAGCTGGGAAGCAAATGTGGAGGGTTTTCTCTGCTGTGCGGGACGCGGTGGGTGGGGCAGGCTGTGGCAGGGTGACTGAGTGGGGTGTGGCTGGTGGTGGGTGGTGGTGTGACTGCTGGGGGTGTGGCAGGCTGGGAGGGGCAGGCTCAGCCACGGGGTGTGACTGGGTGGGTGCCTGTGGGTCTGGCAGTGCCTGCTCCCACCACTGCTCCTCACCAGGTTAGTTCCCTGCCCAAGCAAGCCCTGCTACCCATTGAGGTGCTTTTCGCACTGACCTCTCTCAGCCCTCCCCTCCTGCGCCTCCCAAAGCCTAGGCTGCCGGTGATGCCTCCTCCGAGCATGTCCATGTGGTGAGAGGGTGTGGCTTTGCCCTTGCATGTGTGTGTGCGTTAGTGTGTGCAAGTCCGTGGGCCGCATGGAGGCACTGTCAGGAATGACCCAGCCCGGAAGTGAAGCGTGCTGCGTGAACACTGGGCTGTGAAGGCTTCCCCCAGTCACCCTGCAGCAGCAGCGTCACACCAGACAGAAAAGCAAGATGCTCGAAGGTCTTTATAACCTGCTTTGTTTGAAGGTCTGGGTCACCACTGCTTGTTCAGGGCCTAGGGTTGTGCCGGGCACCTGGTAGAGCTTGATAAATAACAGGCTGAGGGAACGGGATGAATCATCTGGTTGTTGCCCGCTCCCAGGGTGAAGCAGACTCCTTCCTGGAGCTTGTCCTCTTCCTCACCTCCTCTGGCTTCAGCCCAACCTCCTGTCATTTCTTTCTGGACCACTGGGAATTTGATACATGGCCTTAGGTCAGTTCTTCCCTGAGCCTCCAGTTTTTTTTTTTGGTTTTGGTTTTTCTCCGGTACTAGGAACCGAACTCACAACCTTGCGCTTGCCAGGCAGGCGCTTTGCCGCTGAGCTAAATCCCCAGCCCCGAGCCTCCAGTTTTTAAATCTGTTAAATGGATAATTATTTTACTAGCCTAGATCATCTTCTGGTCTTGGCAGCTGTCCCTCCAGATAGATTAAGTAATGTAAACCGGTTGGGGAAACTGAGGCCCAGAGTAGTTAAGAAATTTGCACAGAGATGACAAGGTCAGTAAGTAATAGAGCTAGGGTTCAAGCTCGGGAAGGCAGACTCCAGTCTGAGCCTTAATTGGGATGCTATCAGCTGGCGGCTCTTGGGTTGTTGGGGTGAAATGGGATGAGCACACAGCCCTTGCCAGGAGCCTGCAGACACATAGTAGGTGCAAGTATGTGTGGGTTGGTTTATTGGGCACACTTCACCATTGGAGGCACAGCTAGCTCAGTCTTGTGCTTGCCTTCAGGGAGTTCTGGTCTCATTCCTGGAGCCTACCCATTCATCCAGGGCCCAAGCTGGACCCCTTCTCCAGCCCCAGTCTCTGGACAGCTTGCTGTATAAGAAGGCCCCCCTTGTGTTATGAGTCCCAAGAGGATTAGGGGGACCAGAGCACTTTTGGGTAGGGAGGTGAGGAAGGGAGTGACTTTCAAGTCTAGAGCAGTGGCCACAGTTACTGTGGCATTTCCCGGAAAGTGCAGCGTTGCCATGGTGTCTCCATGACAACCAGAGCATCTCATTCATTATCTCCAGCACCTTGGCAGGGAAAGTTGGGGCTGGGGCTGGGGCTATGGTTGGGAGAACAAGGTAGGAGACTGGCTGAGGGCTGGAGGCTTTGGTAGCTAAGGTCCACTTCATGCTCCCCAGCCAAGGGTCCCTTGCAAGCTCTGGAATACCCCCTCTTATGGGGTCTAGATTCAAATTTTAGTTGTCCCACTGGATAGCTTTGTGAATTTGGACAAATGACTTAACCTGCCTGAGTCTTATTTTCCTCACCTGTAAATGTGGATAATGACAGTATTAGTAAACTTAAACAAGATAAGACATGAAAAGTGCATAGTGCAGTGTCAGGCCTGTAGTAAATACTCAAGGTATGGCCTCAGTATATGATAATTATAATGCTATTTTTGTTGTTATATAGAAACTGTTGGGTTTCATGGAGGAGGAAAAGAATAAACTCAGACTTACTTGAATCAGCCTGGCAATTGTGAGGTCCTGAGTTCAATTCTTGGTACGTAAAAACAAACAAATAAAACCATCAAACTTTCTTGAATCAATATTTAGTGGTTTCCTGCCAGGTGTGATGGTTCGCATCTGTAATCCTAGCACTTGGGAGGCTGAGGCAAGAGAATTTCATGCTTGAAGCCAGCCTGGGCTACACAGCAAATTCAAGACTGCATAGTGAGACC